ATTGTCTATGGTAAGTTTGTTTTGTTTTTGTTTTTAAGACGAGGTCTCATCTAGTCTAGGCTGACTTCAAATTGTCTACCTAACCAGGGATGACCCTGAACTTCCTGTATCTATCCCTCTGGTGCTGGGAGTCCAGGCATATAGTGTCACACCTGGTTTATACAGTGCTGGGAATAGAGCCCAGAGGTGTATAAAAGCTAGGCAAGCACACTATCAACTGAGCCTAAGCTCCTGCAGCTTTGTTTTTAAAATAATTTTTAAATTATATGAATCACTTTTTTGAGATACAGTTCTCCATACTTACTAGCATGGGAAATAAGCAGACTGTGGCTAGGGTCTGCTTCCTGGTCTTGTCAGAGGGTACATCATGTGAGCTGGGACCAGCACATGGGCAGGACAGACTACAGAATGCTTCAAGAGGTACACCGTAGGGATTGTTCCTTTCAGAGCCTGTCCAAACCTCTTGCTCTTGGCTCTGGCACTTGTATGTCATTAGAGCAGCCCCTCTTGTTTCTCTGACAGCCTCAGGAGGGGTAGATGGCAATTAGGCTCTGGTCTCTCCAGTCCTTCTCTAACTCCTCAAGGGTCTAAAGGAGACAAGTGCCAGTGTGTTGAAGTTGGGGTTCCTGTATTGCCTCAGGGCTCTTCCCGCCTATGTTCAGCCCAGACTCACTGCATAATCACTAGTTCTCTTGCCATGCACAGATGACCACCAGGATAGGCTGCTGGGACCCACAGATGGTCCAGGCTCATCTTGTATCCTTACCCGGAACACTTCCTGTCACAGCTGGCCAGGTAACTGGCTCTTAGGTCTCTAGGTCACTCTCTATCTGAGGCCATTTCCTGTTACATACTGATTTCTTACCCTGATCCCTCAAGACTCCGACTCATATATACTAACCCTACTCATGGCCACTCCCCAAACCTCCTCTGTCCTCATGTGTGGAGTCATGGCCACGTGTCATTAGTCAGTCCTCTGAGAGGCAACTAGCCTCACTTGCCCAGAGTTCACTCCCAAACCTGACACCATGTTTCACCCTGCCTGTGAGATCCTCTGCCTTAGGCCCAAGTCTGTCCATTCCTACCATGAGTCACTAGGCAAGTAATCTCCTAGTCTCATCGGCTTTCTTCCCTGTGTGTGAACAGAGGCATGGTGGCCCAGTCTTGGTGAATCCAGAAAGAGCTACAGGCTTTATGCTTGCAGTTTATCCCTGACACAGGCATCTTAGTCATAAAGCCATTCACAGCCAGGATTCAGCCTAGCTCTAGTCCAAGAAACAGTGGTCAGGGTGGGAGGGGCCACTGTGTTCTCTTGTCTTTTGTCTCAGTTCAAGCTCGTTGTCCCAAGGACAGCCCTTTCTTTTATGTCTTTGGGACAGAGCTCAGGGCCACACTCCATCAATGTCCCCTGGCCTTGAGTCCTTGATTCTGGCAGCATGCGGATTCCTCGGGGGGGGGGGGGGGGTTTTGGGGGGGGGATAATGCTGAGTGCCTTGGGTTGGCACTTTTATTGGTGGGGGAGCATACTGGCTTTGGGGGGCTGTTACAAGGTCTGGGGGTGCTGGGATGGCCTAAGCAAAGCAGGGGACTAGAAGGTAGGGGTGGTAAGAGAGTATATCCCACACACCAAGCCTCTGAGGGCATTAGGAACCCAGGGGATGTGATGTGTTTTGGGTCTAGGGGTGCACTTGACCATGAGATTCTTTGGATGGTAGCCCATAGTCCTTGGCCTCAAGTGGACCATGGGAGTGGGCATGGGCGAGTAGCAGGTATTTGTGTGTTATGTGTTCTGAGAACTTTGAGGCCTCCTATTCAGCACCGCGGATGTGCCTGGATTACTATTATGAGACAGGTGAACCTTGGGCCTGGCCCTGCCTGGGAAGGGGGTGATCATGCTGGGAAAAGAGCTGGCATCAACACTGGGATCTTTTCTACAGGTCCTAACCCTGCTGTGGACTAGGGTGTTGTTCCCAGAGTCAAACTGTCCCATAGTGTATCTCTTACAGACTCACACCTCTGCCAAATGCCAACCTCTCACTGGAGTCCCAGTGAGACCTTTGGTCTGAGGGCCACCCCTTCTAGCTCCAGCATACATGCAAAGCTGGTGGTAATGAAGACCATTTTATGTCTGTCCTAACACTGGATCTGCCTATGTCCCAGCCAGGACAGGGCTGTTTTCCTCAGCCTCTTTTCCTACCAGGCACTGAGCCCTACTGATTAACTCAGCCCTGCCTGCCTTGACATCCCCTAACTAGCCAGACATTTTCAGGGGATGATGGGGCTCAAGTTCCCTGAATCCAGGCTTCATACTGTGTCCACATGCTGAATAGGATTTGGAGATTTGTGTAAGAGGGAGGTCTTGCTGTTTCACACGGCCAATCCCAAAATGGGTTTCCCTCCAAGTACTAGGTCAGAGGGCACCTGTAGGTCATCAGAAGCTATTGCTTAGGACGTATTTGAGTAATGACAAACATCTGGAAATGAGAAAACCCCACTAGATTATCAGCCAGCTGGGCAATGCATGGCACATGGAGTTAGGACAAAGGCCTGCTGCCTAGGATAGTACTGTAACTAAGTATTGGGATTCCCATGGTCAGGCATGCTGTCTCCCATGAAGTCACATCCTATGGTGGGGACTGGGAGTATATTTTAATGTTGATCAAAGATGCACACAGTACTTTGGGCAACAACCTTACAGTCCCAGGTTCTCAAGAAACAAAGATTAATCAATATCCCTACACCCTAGCTGCTCATTTGTTTGTTTGTTCATTCATTCCTTCAACAGGCTAATATTGAGCTGACTGGAGTGAATAAGACTATGGCTTTTCCTTGGTATCCTTAGCCAAACAGGGCTCATCATTGCCAGCACCCACTTGCTCTCTCATACTTAGCCACCACACATACCCACATCTCCACTTCATTGGTCAAAGGAAGGAGGTGTGATCATCTCCCAAGGTCATGCCTTCCGTCAGTCTCTGCTCTTGCCCAGAACATAAGCCAGGTGGTGTGCTATTTTGTCTTAATTAAGAGCATCTGTATATAATGGGCAGTATTCAGCCTCCACTCACGGTGGACACTCTGGCAGAGGACTAGTGGTGGCAGGGCCAGCCAGTGTCACCCGTCGAAGAGGAAGAAGTCCCCTCAAGGGCCAGGCTCCTGAGGGAGGCAGGCAGGGAGCCAGCTGGAAGCAGGCCTGAGCAGCACAATGCTTTGTGGCTTCGTGGGTTTGTGGCTTTGCACAGTCCCCTAACATATGTGGGAGTGGTTTCACCTCCTCACCCCAGGCCTTCCCCATGGGCCTCTTGCCAATGAAGGCTGGCTGGGAGCTGTGGCACAGGTCTGGGACAGGGCTGGAGATCTTGAGGGCCATAGTGGGCTCTAATTCATATGAAATGAATATTTATATCAAATACCCTCATCCCCCACTTGTAATGGGCCACTCACATTTTAATGCCACAGCAGGACTAAGGACTGAGCTGCCCAGAGATGCAGCAATCAAAAAGGGGATTTTCATTCAGAACAGCAATCCCTCTGATAATGACCCTGTAGCCAGAGCTGGGAAAGAATCCAGACTGGCAGCAGAGAATGGGCACCCCAGATCAGGCCTCCTGCCATCACTATTTCATGGCAAGCCAGCCATTGCCTCACCCTCCAGATACTGTGCGTGTGGCAGATCTTTGGATGTGACACCCAAGGAGGCAGATAGTGAAGGATGGAGAAGGGGAGGCTATCCACCAATCAAAGGCAAGGCCCCAGCCTCATCTTGATCTCTCTCTTGTTGATTGCCAGGCCTCTAGTGACTGTCCCTTCAACTTGTGTCAAGATTGTGTGAACATGAAGCAGCACAGTAGCTCTCACCCAGTGCTGTGACAGACTGCTACTAGCTAAATTCTAAATCATGGTCAGACCCTGGGTCCGGTGGCAGGAGTCCTCTGTCTAGCTGTTGGTTTTATTAAGAGAGCTAATGGCTCCACTTTGTTTTTGAACTTGGTTCTCACACCAGTCACCTGTGTTTATCTGTTGTTTATTTATCTTTCTGTTCATCTACTCAACCAACCATCCATCCACCCACACATCCATCCATTCATTTATCTCTCCATCCATCCATGCACCAAGCCACCCATCCAGCTATCCACCCACCCATCTGTCTGTCCATCTGTCTGTCCACCCACCCACCCATATACCCTCCTGCTCACTCATCCATCTGTCTTCCCATCTATCCACTTTTCCATTCAGTCTTCCATTCATCCATCTATCCATCCACTCGTGTACCTATCCATTTCTCTGTCTAGTCACTCATCTACTCTTCTATCTACTCACCTTTTTGTCGATCTGTCCATCCACCTCAATAACCTGTATGATAACCTGGGTTTCTCTAGCTTGTAAACCCCTCTCTTTCAAAGCACTCTTGACTTCAGAGCATGTGTGTGTACACTGGGAGAGGCCTGTTCTGTGTGAAGTGAGCTAGGGGAGCTGTTTTAACACCTGCTGTTGCCCATGGCCTTTGTTTTATTTCTTCTACTACCTCTGGATGGACTGGAAGGATTCTTGCACTCAGACCTCAGTAAAGGCCACAGATGGTGGACAGGGTGTCTCCAGTAGAGCTATGAGGTGAACGTGGGAGATAGTTCCCCAAAGGCCCATGTCCTTGAACCCTCACTCAAGGTGCAGGACTTGAGCTCTGTAGATCCCATGAAGCTGGACAACACAGAGGCCAGCACTGTGTTGCCAGACCCAGTCATTATACCTCAACCCTGGTGTGGAGTCTTCTCCAGAGGGCAGTGGCTGGCCAGCATCCACTCTTAGTGTCCCTGGGCTCAGTGTGCTGGCCTCTTCAGGTAGGTGCTACTCATAGGCAACACTTGTTACTACAAACAGACGCCTGAGCCTACTAGTCCCGGGTGTCTCAGCAGAAACACTCCTGGCATGGTAGTCTGCTGTAGGTGGTCCAGCTGGAGTGCTGGTAGCCTCTGATGCAAGCTTACTGCTGTCTTCCTCAGGAGATCGTCCTGGTGGTGTTCTTTGGGACAGAGTATGTGGTCCGCCTCTGGTCCGCAGGCTGCCGCAGCAAGTACGTGGGCATCTGGGGCCGGCTACGCTTTGCCCGGAAGCCTATTTCCATCATTGGTGAGTCCTGCCTTTCTCCAGACACTCCATCCCATGCTCATGGCTCCAAAAGGGCATCCCCATTACAAGTCATCCCCAGAGAGTTCCCAGGGACTGAGACACAGCTTCATTGGCTCTCCTTGCTCAGCATGGCTTGACAGACCTTTTAGGCTAGGTGTACTCTGGCTTGGGTAAAGACACAGATGTGTAAACATAGATCCCCACCTACATTGTTCCTGTGCCCTTGATTGTTGGGTCCTATCTTGCTTTAGTGGCACCCTCCCCCCCATGTGGTTGGTGGCACACCCTTCCTAGATTCCTGGATGCCAGAAGTAATGACCAGCTGCCCTTCCCACAGACCTCATCGTGGTTGTGGCCTCTATGGTTGTCCTCTGTGTGGGTTCCAAAGGGCAAGTGTTCGCCACATCAGCTATCAGGTATGTTGGCTCTTCCTTGTTAGGTAGGGCCTACCACAAAAGCCCCTCCTCCTAAGCTGTAGTCTTTTCCTCCCTCTACCTGTGTCCTTCAAGGTAGGTGAGGCAGGGGCAGGGTGGCCATAGCTCATAGTATTGAGACAGTAGGCAACCCTGGGTTCAAGGTGTGACCCCCAACACTTCCTAGCTCCAATGACTTAGATGACAGCCAGACTATGTGGTTGTAATGTGGGTACTGGGCCTCACCGAGAAGGCCATCTAGAAAGACTCCTGGAGACAGGGTTCATGAGCACCTGTGGGAAGCAAGATGGCCCCAGGACAAAATGATACATGTCTCCTCTACCCATTGGAGACTTGGTGGGGATAGATAGGGAAACATAGAAAGCAAATGCTTGTGACCACCATGGCCCTCTTAGTTCCTCTCTTCCTGCTTCTCAGGGGCATCCGCTTCCTTCAGATCCTGCGGATGCTGCACGTTGATCGCCAGGGGGGCACCTGGAGGCTCCTGGGCTCTGTAGTCTTCATTCACCGCCAGGTGAGTGAGCCTGGTGTGGGCAGGACAGAAACTGGCCAGCCTACAGCAGGAGCACTGGAGACTCCCAGGGTCAGGTTTCAGGGTGGTGGTATCTTAGCACCTGGACCCCAGCTCAGTGGCCTATGGCTAGACAGGGACCAAGACATATGGGTCTGAGGACAGGGTTCAGAACCCCAGAGCCTTCCCAGCCTGAACCTACTTCACGTTTACAGTGCCAGCATACTTGGCTAATGATGCAGAGAGGCCGCCACCTTCCCTCCAGCTTGGGACAAAAGACCGTTGGGTCTTGTAGAAAATGTAAGATGAAGAACAGATTGATGAAGCCCTGAAATCAAGCCCAGGAAGTCAAGTTTGGTGTCTCAAACACCTCCCGGAGGGAACTCTTTTACTCAGAGAGTCTGCTGAGGACAGCTGGCTCTAAGCACCATCCTGTCATGGGAACAAAGGAGGCTGCATGCACTCAAGTGGTTGGTTCAGAGTTATAGTGCAGATGGCTTCAGTGCCAGGTAGCATGACCCCTGCCCCTTTCTGGAGCTGCAAAAATTAAGTTACTCTGGAAGGTGACTTCTGCATGTATAGCCTGCTACAGTCAACACAGTATAATCTAGCAACTGCTACAGTCAACAC